CTAGTGACTTGACATTCTCTGAGCAAGTAGCATCACAGACTAGAAAATCGAAGATGCTCTTAGGATGCATACTCAGGAACTTTCACGACAATGAAGCCGAACTTATTCTGTACAAAACATGTGTCAGACCACTACTAGAATACTGTCCATTTATTATAAGCAGCACTCGCACACGTGATAAGCTAAGGATGGAAAGCATCCAACGATATTTTACCTCAAAACTACTTGGCTATGATTGCAAGAAAGACTACACCTCACGGTGCATGATCCTAAAACTTGACCCACTTTGGACAAGGCGACTTATTATAAACCTAATATTCTTCTTTAATGTCCTTCACAAAATATCATTCTCAGGTAACAGGGACATACAATTCGCACATGAAGGTTTTTACGATCTGCGTAACCAAACTTCCACAGTGACAACTCATTCTTTTAAGTCAACACTCCGTGAAAACTTCTTCACAGTCATGTATTCTAAAATATGGAATAGCCTACCCCTAGATGTCAGAACTTGCTCTTCGGTTACAAGTTTCAAACGCTCTCTATGCAGACTGTTTCACTCTACTGATTATATTAATAAACTATTTACTCCTAGAACGAATCAACTACTAATCTACTATAGCACCTAAAGGACGCACTTCAACACCCTTAGCAATCTAAAATCTATAAATAAACCGGTCGCATAGATGCATAAAAGACTTAGTACGGAACATACTGGAACAGTTCACCGGTAGAAATAGGACCTGTCACTCTATCGTAACCTTCAAATGCTTGCTATATAAACTGTTTTATCCCAATGACTATCCCTACCAGAACCCATCACTTATTCCTAAAACGCATCAGCCATTAAAGCGCTAAAACGCTCAGACTCATTAATACACATTATGACACTTAATAAACACTAAGACTTCGCATAAATACGTGAAAACACAACTACAATATAGGTAAACGTTTACTAAAGTATAATATACAATTGACATTAACATTTATACATGCATAAAACAGTAATGTCCTTTTCATGTTCACATACTTTCTCTTTCTGGTACTCCGCTGGTGTGCATAAACTCCCATTTATCTTCTGGTCGAGGTCGAAAAACCCCGCATCTAAACTGAAATGAAGATTAATCCCAAACCATTTATCTGATAACCACTGAAATTCCATGAACGATCCAATTCTACCATTTGAAGACGCTGGCGAACATGCTGTAAATGAGTACTCATGATCTGAAATGAAGAAGCAACTGGTTTTCAAACAGTTTTCAACATTTCACTCAACTTACGAATACAGCTCGCCATGCAGACACAAATGGCACAAATCGAGAACTCTGGAATCGACCTCAGCCCCATTCGATGCAGTAAAACAACACAACATGGCCTTATCAGGTTTTCGAATCCACTATCAAATTTCTTTCTTGTTATGGAACTACGATAAGACTGCTGAAAAAGTGGAATAAATATATCACTGATCTCAACATAATACACCAATAAACTTTAAGCCAAGGGTGCTGTTCACAACAAAGTTATATAGGAGAATTGACTTCAAGCTTTATTTTTCCCAGATATCTGTATTATATTCGAGTGATGGCTGGGTTTTTTGTTAATGCGAAGACAATATTTCTATATCTCTTTATATGCTACACAAACAGACTTTATAGCAGACTGTTCCGATGAACTCTAATGTCAGAAAGAACAACCAAACTGTAAATTCGTCATACATCAAATTATGTGTAATTTATATAATAACTTATCCATACCTGTACATTTGGTATATTCCTGCATGAACAGGAAGAAATACATATTATTATTAAGACAGCAGATGGGTCGTATACGCCGGAGAGCCTCGAATAGTGCTGAGAATGTCATGCACACGGAGATAAGGATTAGCTGTGGTCCCACACCCTGGAGAGCATACGTCACCGTTGCTAGAAGTGAGGCAGAATGATTGACAAGCGATCGCAGTGACCGCAGTGCAAAGCGTATCCTGAGTTACTTTTATGGTCACGTTGCGTTCTGCAAGATTTATTCTAGCAAGTGGCGATTGTGTTGCGAGATGTCAAGATGATGCCTTTAACTGGAGGGAATAGGTTGTCGTCGATGTAGGAGATTGTGCTGTGGGTATGGCTGTGGTGTGTTGGCTTTGCAGTTTGTTTTCCATTTCGGCTTTGTCCGTGTGACCCAAGTTCTCGCAATGGCGTACAAGTCCACGTGTATTGTTCGTGATGGAAATAAGGGATGGATCCGTAGCTGAAAGTAAACTGCTATACCCAACTAATTAGTGAGGCATTATACTCTTACTGTAACTACAGAAGACAAGGGCCTGACAACAGATCGTTTATTGAGAGACATTTGTAGATTTTTATGTACATATATTATTGTTCATTATTATTAGCAGAGGAACAGTGTCTTCTGATTGTTTGTTTTCCTGCTGAAGGTTATTTTGTCATCTCTTTGTTACCGTTTCTTAGACAGTCCAGTGATATATATATATATATCTGCGAATCGTATCCGCCCACGCAAAGTCTGCTGTGATTGGTTGTTAAATTCGTCAAGGTTAGCCTTTGTTCTTGTTTTCTCACATAGCCCCGGATCAGGACGTGAACATTGACGTCATTCGCTGTCCACCCATTTTGGCCAGCATAAAGCTCTCACCACATTAATACTCATAAAGTATGTATCAACCCTAATGATATGATTGCTGATAATGTAATAGCATGAATACAAAAGACTCGTATTGCACTTTTCCAACACTAGCCATGCCTAGCGTAAACGTGATCTCTGCCTGGCGATAGCCAGTCTTTTGACGTGTGTACTGCTCAGAAGCTCATTGTCTCCTTTATTTGTGTCTGTAAGACATTAGACCATTAGAATTGGAATATACCTGAATATAGGGCTAGTTCACTTCGGTCGCAGAAGTTTGCTTTCTCTTACCCGTGTGTAAAGTGGTATAATAGTTTGAGGAATATTGTGGTTAGGCATTTAGTGTTAGCTAATGAAGGGAAGTCAGTCTATGTGGCTCTAATACAACACATTGATTGAGATAAGCAAGGACATGTGTTGCGCATCCTGAGCCACTGTCCTCCTTGTTGATCAATGATCAGTGACCTAGAATCAGATGTGGCAGAGTTAGGCGGGGTCTATGGGTTCTTGACTTGAGAATCCCGCCCCACGTACAACTGCTGTATGGGTCTCCACAAAATAAGTGTGACTTATAGCCTGTACAAGGTGATTGACACCTAACTTACCATTGTGTTCTGAATGTTACTCAATAAATAACTTTCTATAGTGCTACATACTTTATCATCAGTTGTCAGCATGTCTAGTATGTATAGAATTATGCCTCATCATGAATTTTCTCTTGAATCGCTGCACTTTTTGAAGTAAGATTCACTAACATACTGTCGGTGAATCTGATGCTCGCTGGTAACAGGCTACAGGATGAGGTTGTCTGGAGGTTCGTTAAAAAGGTGTGACCAGTTGGGACCACTAGGTCGGGAGTAAGGACAAACACTCTCCTGTGGCATTGGCTGGCGGTTGCGCTGTATATAGCGCCAACTGCTAGAAGTTAGAATTCTTGGGCTGGGGATTGAGGTGAATCGTCCTAATGGATGGATAGTCTACGAGCTTGTTTTGTAGCCGTAGGGTCCCAGATTCAAACTTCGCACTGTGGGGGAGCGTGCTGATAAAGAGTCCGGAACCAGTACTCTCTGATGGTTTCCAATGCTTCTCTAATTGATATCAACCCGCGGTCAATCCCTGCAGACTAACCCTTGAAAATCATTTTCTACTGGTTTGCAGTTTCAACTGATGGAAGCACTACAAATTTCTTCTCGGAGTTTTTGAGATTTGTGTGTATAATGTATGTTCTGTGGAGCTCTGATTTGTGGTCTAGACACCAGGCTCCTTCAACCGCCGGATTAAGAGTTGATGTTCGTTTCCATTCAACAATGTTTGGACAACCGAGAGGTATGTATCCCTAATCCTTACGCAGTAGATATGTGGCTCACTACTAACTGCATGGAATTGTGCAAATGGCTGTTGAGTAGTAGTAATGTATGTTCTCACCAAGAGTATAAGCGCGACAGAGGGAGTTACGTCTGACGATAAAGATTCTTAAAGGTTTAACATTTCCCCCCCTCCTTTGTGTTTCGAGTACAACATATGACTACAGACTTTAAGATATGAAGTGTCAGTAGTAGTGTTTGCTGTTAACTGGATTTGAGCGGAGGGGGTAGGCTTGCTATCCTCATGCCCAACTTTTTCTCTTCATCTGGCTTATTACTTTAAGGCGTATTAGTATAACAAAAACAAACTTGGCGCATTAACGACATAAAGAGATGCATCACACAAAATCTCGTCTGCCCTGATGATCAGATCGAAGCGGAGATAGTTATCTTAAGTAACTAACCTTTCCACCTGCCTTTGACATGATAATTCTGATCCATAAGGCAGGGGAGAAGTGTCATCGAGTACATTCCCATGCTTTCCGGTGATTCAGTAAGGTTCACATGTTACCCACATACACCATAGGTTTCGAATGAGGATTTCCCAGTTTCCACCAGTTCGGTTCTACACGCCAAAACTTTTGAATTCACCTTTTCAGTTTTGTGAGGAACATCCCTGCGTTGTAAAGGCTTAGTAATAAATATGATTTATCTGACAGTGGCTATGAACGGTTGTCGCCATATGATGGGAGTATTTCGAAAGAAAGACCGGAGTCTACCCATCCACCTAGTGCCATTGTTGGACGTTCACGGGGTCATCAGTCAAGCTAAGTTTAGGAGAAATTATATATATATATATATTTGTATAATTTTTATTTCTGTTTTTCTTTCTTCTCTATAAAAGCCTTCTTGTCCTTGTGCAAGACTTTCGCTTCTCCTGCAAGTCGGATTTTCCCTTGCAGTAGCTGAACGAGAAATGAATTTCGAACACAGAGATCTTCACTTGGGGAATGTCTTGGTCAAGGAAAGTCCTGTGTCTCGTGCTAGGAATCCTTCTTTATCCTCTAAAACATCATCATCTTCTTCTTACCCTTTTCCATCCGGCTCCGTCTCGTCATCGTCCACATCTCCAAAAAGTTACTGTAAGTATTGTTCCCACTTGGAAGGGGTGGACGAAGAATCTGATAAAGAAAATAAAGAACATTTCATTATTGAAAAAGTCAACAATTACGAATATGTGGAATTTCGTCTGAATAATCAGATGATCAGAGTTCCCAAATGTGGTATCACGGCTTATCTTATAGACTTTACTTTGTCCCGTTTAGAACAAGGTAAGTAGTCGGGTGGGGAATTATTTTGCACACTGTTTGTTTTCTCAAAGTTTCTTTTCATTCTCATATACTATAACTACTACATACTGAATGATATATATATATATATATATTGGGGTTTCAAATCACCGAAAATATCCATTGAGTTATGAAGAAAATTAAAAGACGAATTCAACGAAGAGAATTTTCTTTATCGACGAAATCATCTTCAGAGGCTGGCTGTACAGTCGTATTTATATTTACCAAAATATATATAGTAGTCTATTATTGAGTGATAGGACGGATGATATAATTGATATAATTACTCAGAAGTGGCTTTAGAAGTAAAAAATAAAAGTTGTAAATTACGTGGTACTCAACGGCGCAAAGTTAGAAATTTGGTAAGATAAAAATTCTTATTGAGTGAGAATAATAGTAACTGAGTGTCAATTTAACAACAGGGGAACTGGAGGGACTCAGACAAGTCCTCATAGAGAATGGATATCCTCCAAGATTTATCGAGAAAACTATGAAGTTAAAGAAAAAGCCTGAAAAACCCAGACGGTGCCGAAGAAACTGCTATTTATGAGCGTTGAATTTAAAGGTGGTACCGCAACTGAGATCCTGAAGAATCGCCTATGCATATCACTGAGGAAAGCATTCTTCATGGCTGAGCTACGTATCAATTTCCACAGCCGACAAATGATCTTCGGATGCGCGAAGGATAAACTTCCGCTTTGAGCCACTTCAGTGTGTGTTCATACATTCACCTGCGCCTGTGGAGCTAGTTATATTGACCCCACAAAGCGTACACTCTCCAAACGCACCTCAGAACATTATCCGGCATGGTTAGCCAAAGGACAATGCAGGACAATTCCCAGCTTAATTCTCGAGCATTTAGTGAACTCAAGCCACGTAATTCCACCAGAGTAGTCTTTCAAGATTATCTACAGGGTGAGGCAAATGGTACAAAGGGTATCAGGTTTCGGCTTTTGTGTATGGCTAAGGCGATGGTAATTCATCAATACAACCCCAGACTCTGTAGACAGAAAAGGTTAGTCCAGTCACTTATTCTACTATGGTCTTAACCTCCTCTAATCGTTCCCTGTAAAAAATTTTTTTTCTTTTTCCAATTTTACTTTTAGTTTCATAGTTAATTCACTATTATCACTCCCATATGTTCCTTTTGTACATTTCACTCAATACTTTTATTGGCACCCAATAGCAATTTTCATCTTACCAAATTTCTAACTTTGCGCCGTTGAGTACCACGTAATTTACAACTTTTATTTTTTACTTCTAAAGCCACTTCTGAGTAATTATATCAATTATATCATCCGTCCTATCACTCAATAATAGACTACTATATATATTTTGGTAAATATAAATACGACTGTACAGCCAGCCTCTGAAGATGATTTCGTCGATAAAGAAAATTCTCTTCGTTGAATTCGTCTTTTATTTTCTTCATACTGGGGTTTGACTAAGCGATTCATTGTTTGCTAGTCGACCGGTAGCACAGTGGTTAGGACTCTTGCCGACCATGCACATGGTACGAGGTTCGATCCCCTGCCGACGCACACCTGATATCTATGGTCGGCCTACAAAATATGGGCTACCGATATCCATGCTGAAAATTCCATACTTGTATCAAAAATACAGTGTGGAATCAAGCTGTAATCAAAAATAAAAAAATAAAATAGAGGCCATGATGCAATCAGTAACCTGGAACACATTTTGTCGACCAAAGGACGTGTATTGCTCAACAGTTTGCTCCGTGATCCCTCATCGCTGTTTAGTAGTAGTGAGACATAATAATAATGGTAAAGCTTTATCTAAGACAGTATGCGAATATACGGTACAAAAATTTTCAGCGTATTGAGTTCCAAAGTACTTTAATCTTCACACAGGATTCGCATGCAAAGTAATAATCTGAAGTGTATCTTCATTTTGTTGAAGAATTGTACAGCGTTTAATCGGGAGCGAGTTAAATCACCGTGCAAGTTTATGTATAGGTCATTTGATATAACTGGACGATTAAAACAATGATAAATCCTGATGAAATTAAGCACTTTGGAGGGAAGTAATCTCGGTAGCCCAATGATTTAAGCAGGCCACCAATGTAAGTAAAGGATATGAAAAGACTAACGGTCTTTGACTGGTCATAGGCGTTTACTTCTTATCTCCTATTTTAGGTGGTACGGTAGGTTGAGTAGTAATAAACGTAGGGCCTAGAGTGTTAGGTAAGGAGGGGGTGGTGAATGAATCGATGAGGTTGCTAGATTCTACATCTGTCGACATGATTAAGTCATATATTACGCATGTCTAGCCATCGGCTTCCTCGATAGGTAATGTTATCCGACTCATGTTATAGATGGTGAAGCCAAAACCTGGAATAAAAGCATGAAGTCTTAGCCAGTCCCGTAGGGAGTGGGGGAAGTGTAGGTAACCTGGTTGAGAGGTGTTCACAGGATCCTATGAACCAATAAAGACTGGAGATAATTGGTTATATGATTCGAAATTGTTCTCAAAAATGGCGCACAGATGCATTCACTCTCTGTGATCGGCTATATCCATTTAGACCATCATGTTTTTACATGTTACTGTTCTTTCTCTTGTTCATACTTCTGCTTATTACAGTTCTTTTGAATCTGTTTTCTCCAATTTCGTCTTCCTTTGTGTGGTACATGAAAGGAGTGTGGCAACCCCAACTGGTGTACTTCAGTGCAATTTCTATGTCGGAATTATCACTGTAAGCGAAGTACGTAGGTTCAAGGTGATGAAAAACATGATTTTTCGATTACTTAAATAGCGTAAATATTCATTCAGACATCTATAAAACACAAAATAATTGGGAAGTAGGGAATATCCCACAATTATATGAACGTATATTTATATATATTTTTTATTTAGAATATTCTGGAATAGTAGTCAATAACAAAATTGGTGTTTTTTTTAATAATATAGGTTTGTTAATTAAGATCACAATAGGATTACAGACAGTTCACGAAAAATGCATAAATTATAATAATAATGATAGTAAAAATATAATAGAAAATTGAGGATCATTCGAACCTAGATGTCCAAAAGTTGAGGACAATGTCTGAACCAGATTCATTTGGATACATAAATTAGGCTTCTTAATGTGGATCCCAACAGCCAGTCTCAGCATTGTGTAGTAGACGAACTCTTAAGGCGAAGATAAGATTTGTTTGTATGCGGTAAATGACTTTGAAAGCTTCCTCGTTGATATCAATCTTGTGTTGTGTATCCAAAAGATGAGATAGAATAGCGCTATGTGAATGCATTTTATTTGTCGTTTACTTAACCGACCACTCAGGGTGATATTTGGAAATCCGACGAGAAACATGCCTAATTGTGCGGCCTAAGCAGCTAACTGGTTCCACACGAGCAGGCAAACTAGTAGATACACATGGAAGAGACGAAATAGGGCAGTTTATCTTTTACTCCCCAACGCAAAACAGGGGTGGTTTCGAAGACAGCGTGATTCAGCAGTAGGAAATGCTCTTTGTACCGCCGTATTCACTAGATGTTGTGTTGGTATCTGACTAATGTTATTCCCGAGTAAGTGAATTTGTAAGAATAAGGCCTTTTCAGGAACTGTTGGTCCCTTGGACTGCCTTGTTGGTTGATTCATATTCTTATCAATAAACGTTTTCACTCAGCGACTTTTTGATATTAATAAAAATTTCTCATCAAGATATTCATCCGAGCAGATTGCTCTGTGAAGCGAGCATTTTATCAGATTGTGTTTGCATTTCAAAGGCACGAAGCTGAAAAAATGAGTATACTGACAGTCGATTAAGGTTTTGTGTATACACTTCTTCCTATTGTGCCATCTTCTTTTCTAGTCATAAGGACGTCTAGAAATGGAATATTGGAGTCATTTCCTTTCTCAATAGTAAAATTTATTGCAGGATGAACATCGTTAAATTTGTCCACGCCGGATGTTCTTTGCTTCATCCTCATTTTTCATAATCAAAAATGCGTCAGTCATCCATGTACCGACAACAGAATTCAAGTTCATCAGTTGCGTCTTTCAAAGGCCCATTTTGTAGTTTTGCAAGAAAAATGTCGGCTAGAATGGGTCCTAGTGGTGACCTGATTGCCACACCATTGATTTGTCTGTAAAGTTCGTTATTGGATAAAAAGTGAACATTCTTTGTACATTTCAAGAGATGCTGTTTTATAAAAGGAATAGGAATGCCGACATCTATTTTTCGTCTTATGAGTTTTTCGCATACAAAGTCTATTGTCTTCATAAGTGTTACATTGGTGAATAAGGAGATACGTCAAGTGATATCATGAATTTATTGTCCACATTTAAATCTTTTATCCCCAACAAATTCCATTGGTCTTACTTAACAAATCGATATTATTTAAAAAAAACATATTGTTATTGACTACTATTCCGGAATATTCTATGTTTATAAGCGTATACATATATAAAAGAGGAAATTATGGAGAAGGATATCCTTTACTTAGTTATTTTGTTTGTTTTTTTACCTCAAATAGAGCAGCTTCAAGGTGCCTGGCGGTTGTTTCTCCTGATTGTTGTCCACATTGTGGCAGTTAAAATTTTTCTTGGTATACCTGAAACAGGGAAACTATTAGTGTGACGTGGCCATAGAGTCAGTAGTACAACAACAGCATGAGGCCGGGCGATCGATCGGTCAAACACGATCTGTTTGAAATTAGTTTTTTGAGTAGCATCCATGAATCCTGTCGCCGGCTACAGACTACCACGAAGTAAATCGGGATGTACAATTTTTGGAGTCAAACTTTTTTGAAACCTTGTTCCTCCTCTCGAAAATGGTGAGAGATAGGTTGGGTGGCTTGCTGGTCATATCAGAGAAACATTCAGCTGTCGTTACATCTGTATTCACCAACAGACGCGCGCCCAATACTGTGTGAACGACTTATAGTAGAATGGAAACTGTTTTTAGCTTAATTCAATTTGATTGATCGGAGCGAAATGCTCGGCTTCAGGTTGACATGTCGACTCTTTGTGCAAATGCCTCAATGATGTCTGATGACTGAAACTGTTTCTGCTGTCTAACCAACGACTGGATCGTTGGAAAGAGCATTATGTCAGCTCATGATTAAATCCTCCATGCAATCAAACAAAATCCCTACAAAAACCAATACTTGAAAATCGCATTTATATTTAATTATTTGTGTGTGTACATGAGGTTTGTCAAGTTTAGATAATTGATCAGGTAATAAAAGAATGATCTAATATAGAAACATAGTTAATTGGACAGCAATTAAAGTAAGATTAAGTTAGTAAGTTAGATGACGTAATATTATTGACTAAAATGTTTCAACTTAGGTCAGGGTAGCAACAGAGGTAATTACAGGTAGAGACTAAGTAGAAGTGGGGTAGATAATAATGCCATTTAAATTAGAACTGAAGTTGAGCAATTAAGTTGGATGACGTAACATAAGTGACTACATATCACCCACCTTCATTTATCGCAAACTATTTATTCTTCGTTACCCTTTATATCAGTGTGCATGCCGCATATATATGTATATATATATATATATATATATATATATGCGTTCAGAGTGTTCGAAATGCGTTGTGTATATTATTTGTGTTTGAGATCAGTTCAAGTTTTTATTATTATCTGACATGAGTTTAAGAACCATTGGAAAACCTGGGAGTACTGGACTACTGTTTCGTCCTAGTCTGTGACTCTTCAGTAGTACGCACCCACCGGGGTTCGAACCCAGAACCTTCTTAAACATTTTCATTAAAGACTACTACAAGTACTACTCACACTGTGTATTACCGAATAGACTTATATTCAAAAAAATGATTGTGGAACTCTTCATTCAAATCGTGATCAGAGTTCATATTAGTTTGGTTTATTTTGTTTTTCATGACTGAACGACGAGGACTCTCAAGACTACAAGGTGTTTCTACCTAATTTTGTATTTATGACTGTCTGAGTGTGTGAAGTTACATTTGAATGAGAGATGGTTAGGACATGCGTTACGCATGCCTAGACATCACCTTCCTCCCCGAAGGAAAATGTTGGTTAACATAAGATCATTGTTGCAAAAGAGTTAGTGGTGTTCGGACCGAAATTTGAAGTCGGTCTACGAGAATCTTGAGAGTTGGAGGCACCGAAGTAGGGACGTGTGTAGGCTTCCTGGTTGGGCATTGTTATAGCTGACTCACATAGGATGGATCAGGTTGGAAAAGATTAAGGGAGTGGTGGTGGTCAAACCAAAACATGGCTTCATCAGTCATTGTAATCCACAACAGTTAGTTAAAGCCATCCAGTCACGTAGGAAGGTGTAGACTGGCTTCCTGGTTGGGATCCTCGAGACAGTTTAACCAATAAAGACAGGAGACAATTGGTGATATGGCTCAAAATTATCGTTGTCAATGTCTGGCGTAGATGCATCCACTCCTTGTGACTTATAATTTCCCATCAAATTCTGTTGATCTTCGATATTACTATTCTTTTTGCCTCATATCTCTTTTAACTGTCACTATTTTGCATTTCTTTCTACTTTCTTCTCTTGCTTTGTCTGGCGACTTGAACTTCTGCACATCGGTGCAAAGTTCTATGTTGAAACCAGTCAGTCAGTCCTCAGGATTGTAATAATACCAATGAAGACTGGAGACAATTGGTGGTGGTGATATGGCTCGATAATTGACATAGACACATTCACCACTTCTCGTGACTTGTTATATCGTTTTAAACCATCATGTTCTTTCGTGCATTTCTGCTTATAATGGTTCTTTTGAATATAAATTTTTGTCCGTTTTGTCTTATTTTGTGTACTACATGGGAGTGTGCTGTGGCAACTTGAACTGCCCTACTTCTTTGGAAGTTTCTATTTTGAAACCAAGTCAATTAGACGCTTTTACATTCAATTTTTGTAGACAACTGTTCATTCCAAGTTTTATTTATCGAAATTTATTCATTCCGATTTTATACCCACCTTCAATCCATTTTGTTGTATGATATGTTTCCCCTTTAATTGTAGATGGTGGTTTTGTCTATGTTGACTTAAGTAGTGACACTACTTTGTTTCAGTCCAAAGGTGATTATCAATTCGACATATATCGTCGTATGAAATCACATAATCGGTAAGTATACATAAAATGATATACTTTTTTGTGTTCAAGTAAATCATCTTTAAATATTCCCATTTATAATATTATAACTAGACATATAAGCGAACAATATTGTTATTTCCAATTAGATCTACTTCAGGCTTTACTCTGATTTACATAGACTTATATATAAAAAATTTTAACCAATGACAGTGATTTTGTGGATCAAATAATAATAATGTGGTAAATGTTTTGAACGTCGTTAATAACGATGATTATAATGATAAAATATTGATAATAAGGCTAATAAAGGTGATAAGAATAACAAAGTTAGTATATGCATATATGTAGACAATTCAATAAATAAATAAATTAGGTCAAATCAAATGGAACGATCATCAGAGTTTAAATAAATATCATAGAAGTACGAAGGAGATGGATGATAAGAAAGGGTGGGAGGGTTTTGAATAGAATGCATCTAGGCCAAGGGAGAGGTAGAACAAACTTTTTTGTATACAAAGACACTAGGATTGTTCTCTCGAATTCCCATAGCTTCGGCTAAGTGTAAAAAACGGGTTCTGATTCCGTTCGAATGACTCGATGGAATGCGGTGAATAACTTTGAAGGTACTATTTTTGTCCACTTGGTGACCGCTATCAATCGAATGAGCCAAGATAGGACTTCGTATGGATTTTATTTGACCTTTTCCGAACCATAAGGGAGGATGCTCATTAATGCGTTTGTTAAGCTGTCTGGTTATTCGGCCTATATAGCCAGCTTTCTCCACAGGAAGTGGCACAGCTAGCTGAATAGCCTATCCTTCACTTGAGCAATCAAAACTGGTCGGCTGGAAAATGACAAACAGAGGGTGGCGGCAGTATAAGTCCGTTTTATCGCTCTCGATGATCTCTGATGTAAGACTTCACTAGCCACGTCCCCATTAAATTGGAGTTTCATGAACAGTTGTTTCTTTTCAACTGTTGTCGGTTTATCTTTATTTTACTTGGTGTTCATGTGTCTTCATACAAATCTACTAGGACAACCCATTTGGACTAACGTATTTTGGATGTATCCTAACTCATTCTCTAGCAAGTCATCTGTACAGATGCGTCTTGCTTTATTCGTTAGGCATCTGACCAAATTGATTTTGTATCGGATTGGTACATAACTGAGGAAATGTGTATATTGTCCTACAGACGTAGGTTTTCTATAGACATCTCTCCTGAGTGAAACATCCTCTCTTCTGCTCAATTGGACGTCAAAGAAGACTTTTGCCTGACAAGGTTTTTCTTTAACTGATGTCAGCTAGCTTGTGATTGTACTTGTAACCAGTCGGATCCCCTGCATACACTAACACTTGATAAAATCTTTCTCCTCTCCCATAGAAATGATTGGAAGAAGTTTTCGCCGAAAACCAATGTTATGTGGTTTCACTTTTTGACGACAAAACTATGCTGTGATTCGCCCGAACTAGCCTCATCATCTGCTGCATCGAACGTCATGCTATTTGTTGTGAACAGCTGAAAGACTTAGAGTTGAGCACACGGAGATTCAAATACAAATCCGCATTCGACTTGGTGACAACACACAAATTGTTTAAAAACTGTCGGTATTTTTTCAGTGATAAGTAACTTCTCCAAACGTGGTTGTGAATGTGTGTGTGTGTTACCCTTTCACATTTTGAATTGTGCTCTTTCATTTTTTGTCTTCCTGCCTTTTTTTGTTTTCTGTGCCTTCTGATTTTTTTGTACTTAAGTAACACTATTATTTTTTTCTATTGTTTTTATTTTGTTGATTGAGATAGAAATTAGATATATGTATATATTTTCTAGCAAAAATGTCTGTTAGTTGATGTTTATTCGGTTGAAATATAGGCATTTGTTGTGAATTGTTGCTTGTGTTATGTTATATATAATGCATCCAACCTGTGTTTAAGAAGGCTAGTGGCGTGCAACTACACCACCAGTGTGATTGATTGACTGGAACTGTCATCAGATGGCTTGAAGCATTGGAAGGAAGCTAAGAGTTACCGGAGTGTTTTTTTTCGTATCAGTTTGGGACTTTTTGGCAATACGCGCATCCGTGTCCCCAATCGGCGGTCGGAATCAGGATTCGTAGTTTATATGGGTGATTCGTTGACCACTTAGCCACTGGGATAAGGTCTGATAGCTTATCGTCTTATAACCGTAAAGTTCATTGAAATGGACCTCGATGAGGTCCAGTTCTCCCAGCTGTTTCTTTCATCTGTTCTCTAACTGATCTCGGTCAGTTCGTGATCTTACTTCAAATCCTTGCAAACGAACTCTTGAAAGGTAGTTAGTTGTAGCTGCTAAACATATGGGAACGGCATATATACAAAATAAATTCCAGAGAGTCGGGATTGAGGACAAATTGTTAGTAGTCGCGCTAAAATTTCAAATCAGTAAAACTGTTGAAACTCACGAATCATTGAGCTGGATCCCGGCGGCTGAATGAATGCTTTACGAGGATATCTTTTAACCGGAAGATCCAGGGTTCGAGCCCCACAGTGTGGATGATGATGAGCCTCAACCTAGAAGTAAACAGCTCTCCAGTAGTCCTACTTGGTCTCTCAATGGTTCTCTAACTGATGCCAGTCTGCCGTCAAGAAAATAAGACAATCAATACTTGGTGATAAATACTACAGTGATTGTCGAATACAAAGTAACACTCTTCATTTTTAATTGACACTGCAGTCGTACAGGAATATATACTTTGCAATATTGTCTTTCATGTTTGGTCACTAGGTACTCTGACTCTGAAGTTCTTAATAAATAAGCTAGTTGATTAATGACATGCTTGGATCAACTTATGATGGATGTTGAACCCTTTGGAATTATTGTTAACTCATCTTTCAACCTTTTCCAAATGCACTTAGTTGAGACGCATAGATTTCTATCGAAATAACATTGTTAACTGCCTTGTTCATCTCTTGTCACTCTCATAAACTGCTCCTGGGGTATGATCAGACTACTGATAATAAATATTTTATTAGAGACCTGGCTTCAAGGTATTCACTCCATACATATGCTCGAGCTGCTTTCGCTGACTTACACCATCTCTGGCGTAGGCGTGACATCCGGTTATCAACCAAGGGACGTGTGTACTGCTCATCAGTTCGCTCCGTCCTTCTCTATGGCTCTGAAACATGGCCAATACGCGTTGATGACATGAAAAGGTTGACTGCTTTCGATCATAGATGTCTGCGATCTCTGTCTCACGTTAGGTGGTTTAATAAGGTAAGTAATGTTGACGTTAGGCGTAGAGTGTTGGTCAGGCAAAGAGGGAAAATCAATCGACGAGGTTATAAAGTTACATAGACTAAGATGGCTAGGTCACGTGGTGCGCATGCCTAACCACCGCCTCCCCCGACGGGCATTGTTAGCTGATATAGGTTCAGGTTGGAAAAGAGCCAGTGGTGGCCAAACAAAAACATGGCATCAATCCATGAAATCCTTGACAGTTAAACTGAGTCAGGTAGGGAGATGCAGACTCCCAGGTTGGGGCCCTCGCGACTCTAGGAATCAATGGCTGGAGACAATAGGTGACATGGCTCAAAATCGTTGTCAATGGCGCAGATGTATTCAATCTCTGTAATCTTTCATATTCCTTTCTACCATTACCCATTCTGTTTCACTCTTATATTTGTCAAACTCTATTAATTCTCTTCACTCATCTTCTTGTCTACCTCTGTGTGCTATTTGGAACGTGGCAACTCGAACTGCTGCACTTCGGTGCCAAGTTCTATGTTGAATCCAGACAGACAGACATATGCTTTTACTGCGGTTGTTCTGCTCGAAAATTCAGCCTGTGAAATTTTTCAGTTAGCCTACTTTCTTTTTATGTAAATTGTCAGATTGTGGCCCCGTATATACTGCGATGGACATAACATCCATGGTGATATCTCACGTGGTTTCGTGCTCTTTTCGACAAATGTGTAGCTCTCTACTTTCTCTGCAGTCGAACGGTTGCTGTAATTACCTTGTCTACCGTAGAACACTTCTTTTCCACAAGTTTCGCAGTACAACTAGCTGGCATACTCTCTACAACTGTGTTTGTTTGCTTTTGAGCGTTACTTGTATCTCGTTATCATCATCACTAGCATCTGTGAAAATTATCATGGACATTTAACAAAAATTTTGTGTCATCGGTCGATCATCTAAAAGTTCCATAATCTGATCGCTTGTCTACTGTACCTCTTCGATCCAAGTAAACGTAGTGTGTTACGTAACAACCTACAACTCAAGGTCTCTAGTGTCTCCTTGGAGGTTTCCACAAACATCTATTCTCAAATGTGTCTGTGGGGAAATAATAGTTGAGTGGAGATTTGCATGATCAGGAAGATGGTTGGCTACTGGGGGTGGGTGGTGAATATATCCTCCACGGCAATAAATTCAGTTTATATTTTCGAGAGACTTCGACAAAACAATAAGAACTCGTCAGTTACCTGGAAAGTGTGTAGTGTTTTTGCGCAACAAATTTCGGACATGTAGAAATTATATTTGTAAAATCTCAGCGGGGTTGAAATAAGTAATTCCAACGTTCCGTTCGGCGAACTGGGGCCCATAATAATTTCGACTAGTTTCCCTGAAGAAGTTCGGACCAGTTACTTATTTCAATTTCTCTGAGATTTTTACAAATAGAACTTTCACATATGCCTACTTTTCACTTGATCCCAGTTCGTGAGAAATTTCAGACATTCTGTTCACATACGCATTTTTGGCATTTTGGCGGCCTGTTTGACACCTGGGCTACCTTTTCGTGCATCTACATATTGCATCTAATACATCATGTTTTCATTCTTAATTTTAATAAAATGTGATCACGAATCGTATAAAATACAGTAGTTCATCCACTAAACATTTAAAACCATATGACTTTCATGCATCTAATAAAACTAAGACCTTATTGATTGTATAACAGTCAAATGCCGTCCGAAATACTTATCCAAGTTTAAATACGTCTTCATCTCAAACATTTATGTTACTCCTGGCTGTTCTGCCTCGGATCTATCGGATTTTGCTGACGAATCCACTGAATTCGCCGTTACACATCTTGAAAACTCTTTATCAGTTGTCACTGGAGATTTCAATTGCTGTGATTGTTCTTTCCTTGTATCATTAGGTCATGTCAATATTGTTAAATTTCCTACTCGACTTGATAAACTCTGGATCTAGTGTTTAATAATGATGAGGAAATATATGAATCACGGAGACGAGCTCCTATAATGAACTCGGGTCATTGTATTATCCGGATATTACCTAAGATATACAGCAGATCTCACTTTAATATCTTCTCAAATCTGTCCAGGGAAACACAGCAAAGGTGTTACTCACAGGAAAATATACTCAAACGAAGATGTATGCTAAATGACACAAACTGGGAACTTTTCAACGAACACACACTGGATGATACTATTTCCAATTTGACTGACTATCCTAAATTCTGCCTTGATATATGCTGTCCAAAACAGATACTCTCCAAAAGAATGACTGTTTCACTTCCCCTCATCTCAAAAAGCTTCGAAGAGAAACTGTACAAGACAAAGAATAAATCTGGTCTTAGGAAGATAAACATCCAAATTAAATCTGAAATCAAGAGACTAAACAATATTTATGATCAAACAATACTCTCGTGTAAATCTTCAGAAAACATATGGAAGCTTTTTAGAGAAATTATAGGTAGTGGTAAGCATAATAATTTTGCCTCTTCTATTGATGTAAATACTCTCAATAGATCTTTTATCCGCCCTCCAAATGTCTCTTCTGCCTTCAATTAACTGATAACACGACCAGTGACTTTCATAATTTCAATACTTTTGATGTTCTTAAATGTTTAAAATCTCTTAAACCTTCCCAGAGTCTAGGCCCTGATGGTATACCTGCCATTGTTCTAAAGAAATGTGCTGATATTTTAAATAACCCACTTACAAGCATTTTCAATACTTCTTTTTCTAATAATGTTGTACCTTCTCTGTGGAAAGATATTAAAATCATCCCCGTACCAAAGTCTGGTTCTGGAAATAGTGTTAACCTTCCTGTCTGCCATCAGTCAGTGGTCTAAACTAAATGGCCTCATGCTGAATCCCTCAAAGTGCCAGACTATTGACTTTTCCTTTAGGCATAAACGAGATCTACAAACACTAGGAAGCACTCATGAAGCCTGTAGCATTGAGGGGACTAAAATTGAAACCAAGTCTAATGCAAAATACCTCGGATTAGTTCTATCTTCCGACCTTACTTAGTCATCTCATATCCAAACGATTTCTAAGAAAGTGTTCTGTCTAACCTACTACATTAAGAAACTCAGACTAACTGGAATCACTCAACCACTGCTTTCACAATTTGTCAACTCTCGTATCTTACCTATTCTACTTTACTGCTCCCCATTGGTCTTTCCTGAGTTACTGAAAGAGGACTATACCATCCTGAGAAGGATGCTGAAGGTAGTTAGTAGGACTAGTGGTGTCGGCTCGTCACTACATTAGTAGATAAGCATCTGAATACATGCGAGAAATGGTCTAAACCATACTCTCCGACCCTCAACACCCCCTCTATTCTCAACTCTCTCCTTGCATCTCATCAGGTAGAACCAGAAATCAGTACAAAATAATATATGCTCGTAAAACCAAGTATAGGAACTCAACGATACCATATTTGGCCCGTGTTCTAGGTGACAGAGACAATGTTAAGCGTGAAACCTATGACTTGCTTTGTTGTTAATAACATAATTTTGGACTTTTTAATTCTCCCTTATTCTCTCTTATTTGCACTCTATAATGAACAACCTTCTTAATAATAGTTAGCTACCTAGAATTATTGTCATTGGCTTACTTTTTTATTCTTTATTCTATTCCTTCTTTTGTGTATCTACTGGTCCCGACTATATTAGCGCTATGAGTATCACAAAATTATCCTGCCAATAACCTTCATGTAATATTAGTTATGTGATTGTTTTTTTTTCCTTTTTTGTTCGGCAATACTAAAACTGACAATTTTGGTTGTGAACGCCGTTATCACCATCCTAAAATTTTTGTATTATGCATGATTACTCACACTACCACAACAAACACTGCACTAGTGCTGACAATAAAAATAAAAAGCCCTGAAATGTTTATTTTATGATTGTTTAGTGTAGTTCAATCAAATTAACTGATCACCTTGGCTATAAACATTCTTAAGAACATCTCATAACTTCTTGTTTGATTATAGCTGTTACTGTTCACCACACATACACATATCATAGCTTCCACTATCAAATACTGAAATATTTTTCATTATTGGTGTTTAGCTTCCTTTCTACTTGGTATTTTTATTT